CAATTTTGCGATGCATCTGATAGCATGACATTTAATAGGAATAAATACTTCTTAGTTCTGGTGCTTTTGTGCGTGCGGGGATCATTATGTTACCGCTAGTTTTACTAGTATCTAGTTTTACGTTTGATCCTGGAGGTTTAATCATTTTAAATGCTGACATAAAAGCTATGTGTCAATGGAGATTATTTTATTTTCCTTAAAGTTGTCAATGTTAAGACAAAATAATTTCATGATTATGACCCCTAATCATACACCTACCCCTGGGACCTTAATTTGAAGTCACCAAGAGCATCAAATAAAATGTTTTTGTGACATGAGACATTGTTTCAATATCTCTATATGCAGTCAGTTATAAACCATTTTTGGTTTTCTCTTAAGTAAACAAAAGAGATGTCAAATAGATGAGTCTGTGATCAGAAGGTCGCYGGTTCAACTCCCCAAACCAWCCAGCCCCACTTTGGACCTTTGAGCAAGACCTTTAGTCTTAACCCCTCAGCTGCTCCACRGGTGCTGTGATTGGYAGCCCACATGTGTGTTCACATRTGCGATGGGTAAAAATGCAGAGAATTAATTTCCCCTCTGCGGGACAATAAAGGCTAATAAAATCTAAAAATAATAATAATAATAAAATCTAAAGAACGATGGCTGTAGCATCACATAACATCAAGTACATATGGGACAATTGCACCAGGTACTATCTGGCAACACTGCCTGGTATGGAAACTACAGCAGATCCATGTAAATGTGATTTAAATCATATTTAATTTAGAAGAATATTTTTTCCCACTAAACATTGGAAACATGTTTTTTTTTTCAAAGATCATTCTCAGAAGCCATACATTTGTGAGTTTTGATGTTTTGCACCTTTTGTTGTTGCACCAAAAGTAGAATTGAGACACCTTTCCTTTCAGCAYAGACTTGCTAAAAAGTATAGGAAAAGGAGTGAAATAGGATTTGGCCTTACTCACTTTTATTCCCCAGATTGATTTTCTTGGTTGAATAACGTAAAACTTGCAGCACATACATACTTTTTTTTTTGCAGCACACACATACACTCCATAAGAAATGAACTCATTCTAAGCCTGTGCTGAGGACCCGAGGATGTTTTCTCTCTTGCTTCTTCTTCTAAACTCACTTTTGTTTGTAATTTCTACGAAAATGAGTAAATGGCCAGTCATAATGTGAAATGAGTTTGAGCTGCAAGCAATCAAATATCAATTTATACACTCTTGGGCAGCACAAACATGTTGCTTGAACTTCACTGAAACCTTCCATTTTCCGTGCTTGCTGCGCCTAAAAGACACAATTAATTAAATCCTAAACGATGAACATATAGAAAAGCTCCACATGCATTCACGCATAAGCACACGTCAGCTAAATGTATTTTTGTCACGCTCGCTCCTCCGTATAACATTTCAAATGCGGCAGATTTTACACCGTGTGATCTGAGATGTTGCTGGCACCTCTGGCATTTTACTTTGCACTTAATATTTCCCTCTCTATCATCATCCACAGGTTTCTATATTTTTCATTTTGTTGGCTGCGAAACAATAATTTACTTTGATGCATGAGCACAAAGGCTGATCAAAGACTTTGGATTGTAGTCTGCAGTGCAGCCTCAAAATGAATATTAAATGCCATCAGAGCTTTAGATTGGGAGGGCATCTCACCATAGGGATTTGGTGTTTTGAAACTGTCAATATGGAGAATTTTTTTTACATCTGTAGAGACAGAGTGCAGGCAGCTGAGACACATGAAACATGAGTAATTGTTAGAAATGAATGCATGTGAGCAGTTTCTGCGTGAGCTGAAGTGTGTTGCCTCTATGGAAGCGTGGGAAAATCAAGGCCACTGGACATTTAAATGCTTTTACTTTCAATTTAGCACAGCTAGAAATGGGATTAACGACTGAGACTAACCTGCATTCATGTGTCTCTTCCCCCCCTCCCTGCACAGCTGGATGCTTGGTGAAGCATGGTGGTGAAGATGGTGAGAGTGTGCCTAATGGGCCCACTGTCATGGGGCCAAGTCAGATGGATGAATGTGATGAGAACGGGAGTCCTTCATCTGTTGCTACTATCAACCTGCCTTGGCCAGGACACAGAAGGTAAAATGAGTCTCTTTTTGCATCTTCTCACACCTGYCCAATTTGTCTCATTGTTCTGTCTTTTAACTCTACTTCTCCTTTTGGTTCTAATTAATGCACGTGCAATAGGAAATGCATGTCATTTATCTGGCAAAGAATACAAATAATTTTAAAAAAATGGAGGGAACTCTAAGATAAAAGTTCTGGATATGGCTTATGTTGAAAAATGATGGAGCCGTAGTCCTTTTCACCAAACCTAAAAAAATAACGTTATGCACGAACTGGTGCGATTAATGAAAARATATCATCCTCAGAGTATGCGTTGTAAATCATTCTCAGCAATGACAACATCTCAGTATCTCTAAAAATGACCGAGTTATAGTCATKTTTTGTGTTTGCTAAGGCCACGTAGCTAAAATCCATGCAGTGGTTCAGACAAACAACAGTAACATAAAAAAACAGTTTCCTTTAAGGAAACGATTATAAACTGTGAGAAAAAAATCTGTAAAATAAATATGGATTAAAAAAGAATTGAAATGAAAGTGAAGGAAATGAACAGATGGAAAATGTTTTTAAAATACAACAGAACTAAAAATAAGAGTCAACACAAGTTAAAAAAATAATGTAAATAAGAGACATAGGGCGACTTAAAAACCTGTCAAGAGAACTCTTAGAGGATGAGGCAGTGTGATGACGAGTGTCCTTGTTTGCTCCGTATATCTTTTTAAAGACCTAATGTGTAATTTCAAAAAAAATTAAAGTGTAATTAAATCTGTTTAAATTTATTTAAATATAAAGTGCAGTTTGATGGTCCTGAGTTTTAGCTTCTATGGCTCTTCGTTCATTCTGCACAAGGGCTCTGGTGAGGAAGCCATACCTGAAAAAAGCTAAACAGATTTGACTATATGTGTGAGAATGTCTTTCAGAATGACCTGATTTGTATGTACTTGAAAAAAAAAAGCTTTGTGTAAAGAACGGGCAGTCCAGGAACAAATTGTCGACCTGTTTTGTTGCSTCAGTTTTCCCCTGGTTACAGTGCCAACTCCCTGGCTGTGATTTCTGCTGTGGTAATTGCTAATAAAATAAGAAAAATATATATTTTTAATCATCAATTAAACATTCATGCTGTCCTTTAAAAAAATAAAACAGGCGATAGTTGTTTCACTGGGATTAGATCATTATGTTTATTTTGGAACTACAATGTTCATTTTGTTGCTGCTTTTATTTGTGGATTTAGAAGTATAAACACTGATGTTTCAAAACTATGTTCTTGTAATTATCCTAATAAAACATATTTCAGAGTTTATACAAACCAGTGAGCAGATTTACAATAATAATTAAATAACAAAGGCTTATTTATGCTTCCACGTCCTAATTTAGAAGTTTAATACAGTATAGGCTGAAACTGATTTATTTATTTTTGTTTGTTTCCATTTTTAATGATAATCAAATACGCGAACAGATATTTTTGTCGCTACCAAGTCTATAAACATTTTGTACAGATTTGTCCAGAGAACAAACTTTTCTGTGGCTGTCTCAGTTGTTTTTTGTCTCTTTATGTGATCTCACACTGACTTGATGAAGTTGTGATCAGGACTCTGCAGGGGCCACACCATCTGCTGCAGGACTCCTTTTTTGTCTCTGAAGACGGTTCTTTATGACTCTGAACTGWATGTTTGGGGCCAAAGAATGAATTTGGGATGGATCAGACATGTCCCTGATGGWACCGCATGATGGAGAAGAATCTGAAAGTTTCTAACACTTAAGCACASCTCTGTGCCTGAGTGCAGCTTCACACCCACAGTGTTGTTGCCCTGTTGGGGCATATCAGAGCCTAACCCATCACTGTGCAACTATAAAACATTACAGACTAAAGTTAGAAATAGAAATTTGATTCAGACTTCACATAATAGTTACGGAGAAAATCTGCAAAGGGATTAGATCATGTGGTATAAAACTAAATGATCTCCCTTTGCCAGAAGGCGATGGCGGACAAAAATGTTTCTGTTCTGTTCTGTGTGTGTGTGTGTGTGTGTGTGTGTGTGTGTGTGTGTGTGTGTGTGTGTGTGTGTGTGTGTGTGTGTGTGTGTGTGTGTG